TTGATGCTGCTTGGCCTGCTGTGTTCATCCAGCTCTACACCTTGTTATCTCAGATTCTCCAGCATCTGCAGTTCCTACTATCTCTGATACAACCTTATACTGGACTTCAGGTTACGGCTAGGTTTTCCCTCATCAGACCCTTCCTCTGCATCTGAGATCTTTTATTTTAATTCCAGTCTTCTACTCTGGTTGCAGCCTCCTAAATGCTTTCTCTTTTTCCTCTATTCAAGTTATATTAATTTCCATTTCCCTTGCCATCTTTCAATTTCAATGTTCTTCCCTTCTTTTTCTCTGTCCTTTGGAATTATATTTCTAACTGCTTCATTACCGTTTTGTATTCAAACTGTAATTTGATCATAACTAACTCCTAAGTAACTCTAATGACTTGTTACTGAAATAGCTGGTCTCTCTTGCATTTCTGCCAATAGCAAGGACTGTGTTAGTACTTCAATTATCTCTGCCTTCTTAGCTTTTGCAGAAACTTTCCCCTTTAAATCCTGAGCCACCTTGATTAGCTTGGTCTTAGTTAAGTTGTATAAAGAAATCAAGAGGCCCAAACAGCCTTGTTTGCATCAGTGTTCATACACATCTCCTCAGGATTGCACCTCGAATGTAACTGGGGCAAGTGGTCTCTGAATACTTCCTCTTGAGCAGCAGTCGTTTCAATTCAGCAGAACTCAAAATGGTGATCTAATCCATAAGACGTCGGAGCAAAACTTGAGAAAGGGAAAAGACAAAAAGCCAAATGAAACCAAATGGCCAAACTTGGTTTATTGATGTGCAAAGCGACAATAATTGAGCCCCATAAAGTTAACAAAAGTCAAAGTGCAGTGAGAGTTAACACAAAAAAAACTAACAACGAGGCACCTTACTTCATCTCCCAAATTTCATTGGTTTAAGTGCAGCAATGCGGGCTTTTAAATGAAAGGCGCTCCCACTTTCTGTACAAGACAAAGTTTAGATCTGACAATATATTAAAGTTGTAATTTAGACAGATTAAAGTCAATTGAAAACTCCTCAATTAAACAAAGTGACGCAAATCTGGAAGGGTTAGAGTTGCAGAGTCCTCGGCCTAGGGTACTCAAGACCGTGACATCATGGTTAGTGGTTTCTATGGAAACCAAGGATGGTCAGGAGACAAGGCATCGATCACCGAAGGTCCAGCACTGTAACATTTGTCTCTATTACAGAAACATGTGAACATGCCTGCAAGGAACAGAGGGAGAGAAATTAATCTGTGTTGGTTATTTCTCAGCAAGTAGCACCACCATCACTTCTGAATCGCACGGTTCCCGGTTCAAGTCCCACTCCAGGACAACAACACAAAAAATTGGCGCTGACACTTCCTGGTGCAATACCAAGGAAGTGTTGCACTGCAGGAGGTGCCACCATTTGGAGGATGTATTAAACCAAGGTCCCGTTTGCCTATTTGGCAAGATGTAAAAAATCCCATAGCACTATTTGTTGAGGAAGTTCTCCCTGGTATTTATCCCTTCATTAATATCACAGAAACCTATGATCTGCTTATCTGGGAGTTTCCTGTGCTGACAGTACCTCCCATGTTTTCTGCAGTACAACAACACATATGTTTCAGAATACCTCTTTGGCTGTAAAATACTTTAGGTCATCTGGTGATCATGAGACACACAATATAAATGCAGGTTTTTTTCTACGGAAATGATTACTCACAATGCAACTTATGAGAAAACTGGCAGATAGCAGTCAAAAATCAACAGTCATCTTTCCAACAGGAAGCTACTTGACAGAGAGTTTTTCCAGAGTGTTCTCCTGAGTATTGACGACTGCAGTGAGCTGACACTGGTGAAGCACAAAGTTTGTGGAAGTCAGGACTCCTTGGTGTCATTGCAGAGCCAAAGCGCTTCCCCTTCTTTCACTGAAGGGTTTTTATTTTGGCAGGGGGCGGGGGATCTCAGAGGTTCACCTGGGGGCTTGCTTGCTTTGAGCAATGTGTAAGCATTAAGTGGCCATTCCTTACAAGTGCTTAAACTCAAAACAGGTTTAAGTACAGCACTGCGTGCAAGCAATACTGCCACTGAGCAACTCAGTCTTGAACATTGATTAAATGCCTTTGGCAAGTATTGATGCAGAAATTTGGCCTCATCACTTCCACACTTTCATTCTCTTGCCTGTTTTACTTACCACCGTAGGAACGTGGGCTGATGTTACCACACAACCACAGCAGATCATTACCCTTATTAAAACACTTACTTAAGAATTGTGGCTGGGTATTCTTTGCCTGGTGCTGAGCCCCACTCCTGGGCCAGCAGGAAAACTTACCCAAGATCACAGCAGGACAATTATTCCAATACGCTATTGACTAGACAAACCTAGTCTGAGACATCTCTGAATTGATTGAATCTGGTTCGATTCAAAGATCAAAGGAACCTTAACCTGGGAAGAGTGAATGGGTGCAGTGGCCTGCTTCAGTGATGCAGATATAGGACTCAGTCTGCAGCAACTTTATGATGTTTTGGACATGTATTTGATACACAGTTGGCCAGAAACAAACCTGGTTGTGACTGTGTGTGGAGGGGGGAGGCAAAAAAGAAGCATTGGGTAATTACAAAATAGACTACAGTTTCTACCCAGAAAGCTGCACGCTGAACACGATACTTACATTAAACAGGGGTGGATCCTTGGGATGTGGATGAAAGCCTTTCTGCTTACAGAAAGAGATTTCATCCATGCCGTGGTCAGTCAGTCTGAAAAAGCCAGTCCTAAACAAGGAGAGAAACTGGTCAGAGTGCAGGGCAAGAAATGTCATCTGGTAGCAATCCTTCAAATAGTTCAAACGTCCCCCGGTCTTATGGAAAGATCTGTACCAAATGTGGTCCATGTACAAACAGTCAGATAAATACAGTTGCTGCAGCGGCACTGTGACCTCACAATTAAACAAATAGTGCAGCCGGCCAGTTAGGTGAAGCAATCAAATTTAAACTCATTTCACACTGCTCATTTCCATCTTTCCCCGACACTTCCCAACCTTGTTAATGGCTCTTATTCCTTCTCCTTAGGCACTCCTAGTTTGTTCTGCACACAATGATGTTAAAACAGAGACAGTAGGAACTGCAGATGCTGGAGAATCTGAGTTAACAAGGTGTAGAGCTGGATGAACACAGCAGGCCAAGCAGCATCAGAGGAGCAGGAAGGCTGACGTTTCGGGCCTAGACCCTTCTTCAGAGGGTACTCCGCCCACAGCCGACGCAACTCCGCCCATAGCCGACGCCAACGTCGCTCCGCCCACCGCCTCCACAGCCAGCAGCTCCAGAGAAGACAGCAGCACCCAGCCCTGCCAAGTCTTCACCATTCCCCCAGGCCTCCCCCTTACTGGTGACGAACGGTCAGTCCTCAGTAAAGGGCTCACCTTTGTCCCCCTCCACCCACACATCAACGAATACCGGTCATGTTTGGACATTGAGCAGTTTTTCCACCGCCTCCGCCTCCACGCTTACTTCTTCAACCGTGAGCCTAACCCTCCATCTACTGACCCCTTCTCCCGCCTCCAACACACCCCCTCCTCCTGGACACCACCCCAAGGCCTCCTACCCTCCCTCGACCTCTTCATCTCCAACTGCCATCGAGACATCAATCGCCTCAACCTCTCACCCACTCCAACCTCTCCCCCGCAGAATGTGCAGCCCTCCGCTCCAATCCCAACCTCACCATAAAACCCGTGGAAAGGGAGGCGCAGTTGTAGTATGGCGCACTGATCTCTACATCGCCGAGGCCAGACGCCAACTCCCCGACACTTCCTCCTACCACCCCCTTGATCATGACCCCACCCCCAACCACCAAACCATTATCTCCCAAACCATCCACAACCTCATCACTTCAGGTGACCTCCCACCCACAGCCTCCAACCTCATCGTTCCCCAATCCCGCACCACCCGCTTCTATCTCCTTCCCAAAATCCACAAACCTGACTGCCCTGGTCGACCCATTGTCTCCACCTGCTCCTGCCCCACCGAACTTAGCTCCACCTACCTGGACTCCATTTTCTCCCCCTTGGTCCAGGAACTGCCAACTACGTCCGTGACACCACCCACGCCCTCCACCTCCTCCAGAACTTCCAATTCCCCGGTCCCCAACACCTCATCTTTACCATGGACGTCCAGTCCCTATACACCTGCATTCCCCATACAGATGGCCTAAAGGCCCTCCGTTTCTTCCTGTCCCGCAGGCCCGACCAGTCCCCCTCCACTGACACCCTCATCCGCTTAGCCGAACTCGTCCTCACCCTCAACAACTTCTCTTTCAATTCCTCCCACTTCCTACAGACAAAGGGGGTGGCCATGGGTACCTGCATGGGCCCAAGCTGTGCCTGCCTCTTTGTAGGTTACGTGGAACAATCCCTCTTCCGTACCTACACTGGCCCTAAACCCCACCTCTTCCTCAGTTACATTGATGACTGTATTGGCGCCGCCTCGTGGTCCCACGAGGAGCTCGAACAGTTCATCCACTTCACCAACACCTTCCACCCCAACCTTAAGTTCACCTGAACCATCTCTAATACCTCTCTCTCCTTCCTAAACCTCTCTGTCTCCATCTCTGGCAACCACCTGGAAACCGATATCCATTTCAAGTCCACCGACTCCCACAGCTACCTCAAATACACCTCCTCCCACCCACCTTCCTGCAAAAATGCCATCCCCTATTCCCAATTCCTTCGCCTCCACCGCATCTGCTCCCAGGATGAGGCATTCCACTCCCGTACATCTCAGATGTCCTCGTTTTTCAAGGACCGCAACTTCCCCAGCTCAGTGGTCGAGAATGCCCTCGACCGTGTCTCCCGCATTTCCCACAACTCATCCCTCACACCCCCTCCCCGCAATAACAACCAAAACAGAATCCCCCTCGTCCTCACGTACCACCCCACCAACCTCCGGATCCAACGCATTATCCTCCGACACTTCTGCCATCTGCAATCCGACCCCACCACCAAAGACATTTTTCCCTCCCCACCCTTATCTGCTTTCCGGAGGGACCACTCTCTCCGCGAGTCCCTCGTCCGTTCCACACTCCTCTCCAGCCCCACCTCACCCGGCACTTTTCCCTGCAACTGCAGGAAGTGCTACACCTGCCCCCACACCTCCTCCCTCACCCCCATCCCAGGCCCCAAGAAGACTTTCCACATCAAGCAGATGTTCACCTGCACATCTGCTAATGTGGTATACTGCATCCGCTGTTCCCGTTGTGGCCTCCTCTACATCGGGGAATCCAAGCGGAGGCTTGGGGACCGCTTTGCAGAACACCTACGCTCAGTTCGCACTAAACAACTGCACCTCGCAGTCGCGAACCATTTCAACTCCCCCTCCCATTCCGCAGACAACATGTCCATCCTGGGCCTCCTGCAGTGCCACAACGATGCTACCCGAAGGTTGCAGGAACAGCAACTCATATTCCGCTTGGGAACCCTGCAGCCCAATGGTATCAATGTGGACTTCACGAGCTTCAAAATCTCCCCTCCCCCAAACGCATCCCAAAACCAGCCCAGCTCGTCCCCGCCTCCCTAACCTGTCCTTCCTCCCACCTATCCCCTCCTCCCACCTCAAGCCCCACCCCCATCTCCTACCTACTAACCTCATCCCGCCCCCTTGACCTGTCCGTCCTCCCTGGACTGACCTATCTCCTCCCTACCTCCACTCACCTTTACTGGCTCCATCCCCGCCTCTTTGACCGGTCTGTCTCCTCTCCACCTTTCTTCTCCTGTATCCATCTTCTATCCGCCTCCCCCTCTCTCCCTATTTATTTCAGAACCCCCTTCCCCTCCCCCATTCCTGAAGAAGGGTCTAGGCCCGAAATGTCAGCCTTCCTGCTCCTCTGATGCTGCTTGGCCTGCTGTGTTCATCCAGCTCCACACCTTGTTATCTCATGATGTTAAAACAGTTTAGATTGCTGTGACAAGCTCAAAGATCACAGCTTCAAAACAGTTCAGGAATTTGAGTTTAACTAAGTTTGACAAATTGCCTTCACTCGTGATGGCAATGTAAGTTCTGTTGTGTGTCAGCTGTGGTTCAGGGACTAGCAATGGTATCTGAATCAGAAGAGTGTGGGTTCAAGTTTCCTTCCAGGGTTTCAGCACCAAATTCTAGGCTAATACAGCAATGCAGCAATGAGGAAGTGCTGCAATGTCTGAGGTACTGTGTTTCAGCTGAGGTTTTAAGGCAAGGTTCCATCTGCTCAGTGGATACAAAATATGCCAATATTTTGAAGATGAGCAAGAGATTTATCCCTGGCGTACTGGCCCTCAATAAACATTGCACAAAAATAAAAAACAACCTGTTTATTAGCATGTGTTGTTTGCAGGACTTTGGTGTGTGAATATTTAGGACAGCACAGTGGCTCAGTGGTTAACACTACTGCCTCACAGCGCCAGGGACCCAGGTTCAATTCCACCTTCGGGCAACTGTCTGTGTGGAGTTTGCACATTCTCCCCGTGTCTGCGTGGGTTTCCTCTGGGTGCTCTGGTTTCCTCCCACGCTCCAAAGATGTGCAGGCTAGATGGATTGGCCATGCTAAATTGCCCCCTAGTGTTCAGGAATGTGTAGTTTAGATGCGTTAGCCATGGGAAATGTAGAGTTACAGGGTAGGGGGAAGGGTCTGGGTGGGATGCTCTTTGGAGGGTCAGTGTAGACTTGTTGGGCCAAATGGCCTGTTTTCACACTGTAGGGACTGTATTAGCTGTCCTGTTTGTACAATATAACAATGGATGCCTCATGAGAGAAATGTAAAAGCTATTTGATGGGACTTAACTGAACAACTGTTAACTGCACTTCTTTGTGACCAAGTGTCCAACCACTAATCCAACTGAAGGTCTAGCTTCTTCCAGAAGTTAAGAACAATTCACTACAGCACACATACACATACACACACACACAGGCATGTCAGCTTACTAACTCATTTAGGTTCCCAATATCCAGCCAGTTCCTAAGGGTTACATTTCTTATCTTCCCATCTCACAACAATTAATTAAAGATGGGATTATCAAGTAACATACGATCAGGGGACCAGTGCGCTATGCCACATCTTCTGATGGTACTCTTATCTCTTAACATCCCGAAAGAGTTGGGCCCACTGACAATAATGGGTCAGTATCAATCTCACTCTTGACATTTTCACTGACCACCCCACCTCCAGCCTCAGCCACTTTCCGAGAGATAGGGTTCCAGGTTTCCCCTGTAGACGTGCTTCCCGATTTCAATCCTGAACAGCATCGCTCTAATTCAGATATTCTTCCACTTTCCTCTGGACTCTCCCGCCAAAGTAAAAGGGTACACAGAGAAGCTCTGAGAACCTTGAACCATGTCAGTTGTTTATCCCTTCATTGTTTACACTGAAGTGAACACATACTCTGTCTTCGCATCCCGTTCTCACAATTTAACCCTTTAAATGTTATGCAAGGACTTGTATCCTTTTAATAGCGTGAAACTGAGCACCCATAAATCCTGCCGCATACTTACTCATGATATTTGGGTGAACAAACAATAGCTATGGCCTCTGGAAGCATGATCTGATAGGAGCTGTGGGTATGAAGGTCCACACTGGACAGGAATGCAGTCTGGGTGGGATGAGTCTGGAACACAGACATAAAGCATTACTTACAGAGAGACAAACAATTGCCATGGTTAAAACCGTCATCATGGCCTGTGTTTGATACTTCAGAAGGGGATGGTTACAATCACTTGAAAGCACTAATACAGGAGACAGTGCTTGGAGGATGGGGATTAAGCGCACACCAAGGTTGCTGCATGACTCAGGAGTGCTCCCACAGCACGGCAATCCGTAATCCCTCCGAGCTGCTTTCCAATCTTGGCTTGGCTGTTAGGAAAGATGAGAAGTTGTAAGAAGAAAACCCCAGGGTGAACTTCAATGTGCTCTCCTTTGATTGACTGCAGGTCATTTTTAGGCTCTTAGACTCAGGAACACAGCAAAATAAAAGCTAATAAACTAAAAAAAAAATCCTTTCTTCCTGAAGGTGCACAGCCCATAAGTCCACAGATCCCCACATATTACCAGCCCAATTACTCATCCAATAGCCATTCTCAGTGCATGTATCTCAGCAATGAGGATTGGCAGTTTATTTAGAGCCTTAAAGTCAGACAGCACGGAAAGAGGCCCATCAGTCCAACCAGTCCAAGCTGGCCATAATCCCAAACTAAACCAGTCTCACTTCCCTGGACTTGACCCATATCCCTCCAAACATTTCTTATTCATGTACTTATCCAAGTGTCTTTTAAATGTTGTAAATACACCCACATCCACCTGTTCCTCAGAGTTCATTCCACACATGAACACTCTCTGTAAAAAAAAAAAATTGCCCCTCATATCTTTTTTAAATCTTTCCCCTCTCACCTTAGAAATATGCCCGCTAGTCTTGAAATCCCTAACTCTAGGGAAAATTCAACTGCCATACACCTTATCTATACCCCTCATTATTTTACGAACCCCTATAAGGTCACCTCTCAATCTCCTATGCTCCATCCAATCTGTCCAATCTCTCCTTATAACTCAAACCCTCCATTCCTGGCAACATTCTGGTAAACCTCTTCTGAACCCTCTCCAGCATTATAATTTCCTTCCTTTCACAGGGAGACCGGAACTGGACAGAGAATTCAAGAAGAGGCCTCATCAACGTCCTGTAACAACCTCAACATAACGTCCCAACTCCTATAATCAAAAGTCTAAGTACTGATGGTGGGCTATGTCATTCCGAAGCCCAGTTCTAAGCATTTCCAGGGAGACGCACTGCTTGATGATCAGGACTGATCTCACTCCCTGTGCAGCACAGTTCGAACATCCTCCCCACCAGCCTGCCTCTCATTTCGGGACTTAGCAATGGAGCAAGGATATTTCCTCCCCAGTGTTATAGTCACAGGTAGGGCAGAAATACACTCACATGGATCCAGCCCAAGGTTATGAGGTCATCTCGGTCCTGAATCAGGAAGAGTTCCTCTTCATTCTCCGTGTTACAGTAATCAGGACCTGCAGTCTGTTTAGGCACCAGCACATGGGTTATAGTGAACTCATTCTGCATCTGCAGGTAAAACAAACAGGTCACAATACAGCACCAGTGCAGCCCTACTACAAAGAGACATCCGAGGAGAAGGGTGCAAGTACATTGGTAGCACTGGTACACAACACCACGATGGCATTGCTGGCCAGGCCTGCATTTGTTGCTCATCCCTAATTGCCCTTCAGAAAGTAGTGGTGAACTGAAGTCCATGCAGTGTAGGTAAACCCACAGTGCTGTTAGCAGTGGAGTTCCTCATTCCAGTGGGGGAGCAGCCAATATATTTCCAGGTCAGGATGGTGAATGGCTTGGAAGGGAACTTGCAGGGGATGGTGTTCCCATATATCTGCTGCTACTGTCCTTCGAGATAGTAGACGGCATGGGTTCATAAGATTCTGTTTAAGGAGGCTTGGTGAGTTGCTGCAGTGCATCTTATAGATGGTACACACTGCTACCACTGAGCATCAGTGGTGGAAGGAGAGAACGGTGAAGGTGGAAGATGGTTGCTTTGTCTTGGATGGTGTTGAGTTTCTTGAGTGCATTATCCATTTGAGTGGAAAGTACACAGTCCTCACTTGTGATATAGATGATGGCTTTTGTTCAAAAAGTATTCCTTAATCTTCAGAAATACATTGATTGGGCTTTGGGGCCAGATTACCCTCCCACGCAGGGTTAGGACTCCAGATATTTTTCCCCAAGAATCCTTTGAGTTTATAGGAATTTAGGATGTCGGGTAGATGTGTTAAACTGGGCTGAACGGAGAATCAGCGTCGCTGCGACTCAGAATGCAAATTTGAGGAACAACATCTTATCTTCCACCTGGGCACCTTACAGCCCAGAGGACTCAACATTGAGTTCTCTAATTTCAAACAACTTTCCAACCCATCCCCCACTCCCTTTCCAGCCGCACCTCCTCCCTTCCATTCCACCTACTGATCCTCCCTTCCAGCTACCAACCGGATTCATCCGTCCCATCGACCAACCAGTTTGTACCTACTACTGGTGTCCACCTATCACCACCATTCCGCTAACCACCTCCCCCCAACCTCTGTAGCTCCCTCTAACCCCACATCCAGTCCTGAAGAAGGGTAATACCTGAAATGTTGACTTCTTCTTTCCTCCAGATGCTGTCTGGCCTGCTGTGTTTTTCCAGCCTCCTGTCTGTCTACACGTGTTAAATGCAGGCCAAATCATAAATGAATGCACAGAATTTGATAGGGAGCCAGACTATAAGAGGAAAAGCTTCACTAACGTTAAAGTATTTACTTTCAGAGCAGAATTGCAAATCAATTATATTAGAACAGCTGACTATACGTTTAATATCCACTCAGATGTCTGGGGGCTCTTGGGGTGCAGCTGTAGTGTTCATATATCTGAGGCAGGGGGCCTGGGTTCAAGTCCCGCCTGCTCCAGAGGTGTGTGATGATGTCTCTGAACAGGCTTGTTACACAGTATCTCCACTCAACTGTCTACACCCATTACATCCCTAATTAATTATTTATCTATGATAAGTGAGCTTCACCAGACCAGTCCTGTGGCTGAGGGGCAGGGACACCTCCAGTTACAAAACAGGACAGTGAATGATTCACATATGGTTCCTACCAGTTTGCCGCAGAGAATGCCACAGGTCTCCACTCCTCGGGCAGTGTTGGCCTCAGCAAGTTGGAGAAATTGCTGACATAGGCTCTTGGGTACCACCACATTCCGTAGTCTGTCTGCCGAAAAATCTGAGCAGAGAAACACAAATTCCAATTCATCTCTTCCCACGAACATACATGCTCCTTTTCTCACCCTGGATTTTCTGGTCCTCTTCCAAGCTGACCAGTCATTGCATCAACGTCAGGAATCAAAGCTAGGGCTGTCCACCAGTACACGCACATGGCAATGCCATCTGACCCATTTGGGAGAAAGAGCCATTTTCAGCCAGGGAGAGGGATGGCTGTATGGTGATAGCAAAGAGATCCACACAACATCCCCCAAAAAACAGAAAACAGAAGGAAGGGAGGGGAAGACCTCACATAATATCTCAGCATCAAAATATTTAGCATTTTGATTGTGAATTCTACATTTTTCAACATCAAATGAATTGAATTTCAATGCAGAATATGAGACCAATTTGCAACAGGTCCAACAGAATTATGACGTACCTGTTTTTCCACCAGCCACAAGTCATCTCTCATACCCTCCTTTCTCATGCATTTATCTGTCTTTTCTTAAATGTTATTCATCTCAACAACCCCTTGTAGGGTAGCAGGGCTCGTTGAAACCTCAGGGGGTGGCCCTCCAGGCTGTTTTGCAATTTGCCCCAAGCCCAGCTAAGGGTCCCATGCTCGGATTATGAGCCATTGCAGCTGGTGGTACCTGAGGGATTTCTATCCAGAGTGGCCTTTGGGAAAAAGACTGTGTCTCCTTTCATTACACTTGGGAAAAGTGCTGACTGAAATTGCAGATGGGAACTTGCCGACAAGCAATTGGAGAGGCAAGTGTTAGGTTGTGAGGTGTGCAAAAACAAACAGAGAACCCTTGGACAGCTCACCATTACTCTCTGTGGTAGTGAGCTCAACATTGTCGCCAATCTCTGGGTGAAATAGTGTCTCCTGTGTTACTTATTGGATTTATTAGCGACTGGATTATATTTATAACCTCCAGTTCTGGTTGTTCTCACAATATCTCCTCAATGTCTATCCTATCAAATCTTTTTCTTATGCTTAAAGACCTATAAGGTCAAAGTTAAAGAAAGAACTAGAACCTGTTCTCCTTTCCTGAAAGTAATTCAAAGGAATAACTGAGCAGTTCTTTCAAATGACTGGGTGTAAGTGGATAATTTCTTACTGTTCCAATTGGTTCCAAATGTTGTAGGTTTCTTTGAGCGATCTACGACAGGTGGGACTACATTTGGGAGAGCCGCAGTGGGTGAAGCAGGAGGAAGATTATCCGGTGGTCCCTGAACACCTGGTATCAGGGGGAAGTCTTTGGATAGGGGGGAGTTTTCAGGTTTCGCGTACTCCTCCAGCACCTTCAGCCTCTCTTTCTCCAGCTCCTTGCGTCTGATCATCTCCTCGAAGGCATGGAACTGTTCCTGTTCCGCTTGCTGCTGGCGCATCCGTGCCACCCGCTGCTTTTCGTCTTCCAACTCCTGCTGCCGGGCCAGCTCCTGGGCAAACTTCTCAGCCTCCCTACGCTGGAAAGGGGAAGAGAGGGCGTCAGCTTTAAGTCTCCTCACTGGCCAGCTTCCCAGTGTAGCACCATCTGGCTGGCACCTCTACCTATCCCAAGAACTACAGCAGCAGAAGTACGTCAATGGTTGCAGAGCACTTTGGTACACTGTGAACTTATGATCAGGAAAGACAAAAGTGAATGAGAGCCAGAGATATATTAATGCTAACAATTTGATAACTTTTCTTAACCACAAGACCTTTAGCCATCAAGTCTGGTCTGCCATTCAATGACATCATGGCTGATATGATCACCTTCAACTTGACTTCCCTGCCTTTTCCTCAGAAACCTTGATTCCCTACCTGATTAAAAATCTGTCTACCTCAGCCTTGAATATACCTAGTGTTTCAGCCTCGACAGCCCTCTGTGGTAAGAAATTCCACAGATTCACGACCCTCAGAGAAGAAACTCTGCCTCACCTCTGTCATAAATGAGCGACCCTGATGTGAGATTATTTTCTCTGGTCCTAGACTCGTCAACACGAGAAAACCACCTTTCCGCATCTACTCTGTCAAAACCCCCTAACAATCTTCTGTTTCAATGAGTTCTCCTTTCATTCTTGTAAACTCCTATGAGTACAGGCCCAACATACTCAACCACTCCACATCAGAAAATCTCTCCTCACTCAGGATCAACCTTGTGAATTTTCTCTGGATTGCCTCCAATGCCAATAAATGTTTCCTTAAATAAGGGGCCCAAAGCTGTTCACAGCATTCCAGATGTGGTCTAACTAATGCCTTGAATAGTTTTAGCAAGTAGTTCCTCCTTTAGTATTCCATTCCCATTGAAATAAAGGGCAATATTCCATTTGCCATCCCCAGTACACACTGTACATTGTGTGCTGCAGCTTTATGCAGTCTTTCTCCATTTAGATAATATTCAGCTCGTCTAATCTTCCTGCCAAAGTGCATAACCTCACATTTTCCCAAATGATTTTCCACCTGTCAAGTTTTTGCTCAGTTGCTTAATGTCTAAGCCCCTCTGTAGATTCTCTCTTGTCATCCCTCGGCCTTCCCGCCTATTCTTGTGTCATTTTTAGTCACAGCAACTGTGGGGCTATCAACCTCAGAGCTGGATTCAAACATTTCCCTAGAGTTTCACACTCAGAAGCCATAAAAAGAAAGCCACTGCCAGTGCCACAGTGCGGGGAGCCTCGGGGTAATGCCACAGGAGGAACCGCAGGGCAAATGCTAGGAATGCCATTGTTTTCCAGTATTTTGCCTGGGCTCCTCTTTACACAAGATCCTGTTCAAGAAGTATCTCCACACTTGTGGAAGTTTGTACAAAATTAAGATTGGGACAGACCCAAGTAGCCTAGCTTGTGCTGAGTTGTATTTACCTGTAGCTCCTGATGCTCAGCATATTCGACAGCGTACCTCTGGAGAAGCTCGCTCTTCAGCTGCTCAGCTCTTGGAAATGCAATCTCTTTCAGCTTCTGCTCCACAGAGACAAAGAAAATCCAATATTTTACACCCTGCAGCTCTTCCCTTTCAAAGGTGCACTTACAAGGTTGCAAGGAACACTGAAAAGACTACACATTTGATACTCTCTTCAAAGCCGATTAAGCAAATCCTCAGTCTGAGCATGGTATAGATGGAAAAGCATTGACTCATCAAGAGGATAGTTTCATGCCATTGCCCACACCAGCTTAAACACAGTGAGATACCCCGATGTCTCTTCCCCTGATCCAACCACTATTATTCATTCCTCTGGCAGTGTTGTATGGTGTCAAGATGAACTGACTGCCAGAGACACTGCCTTGTTTTAAACGAATGTAAAATTCATTAGCTGTACATCCAACCACTTGTAACCCATTTTACAGTATTGTCACGTTCTAAACAGAGCAGACTGTGTAGACTATCTAAGCTGTAAAATTAAAGATATTCCACTGGCTTCAAAATTTTCTTTCTCTCGGGATTTCAGGGACATGGACAGTTTGGAGAAATAGAAGGCTGTTTTCCTTGGAGATGAGCAAGTTGAGAAGAGATTTGATTGAAGATCATGAGATGGATGGACAGAGTAGATGGACAGAAACCATTCTCAAGGGGAAAAGGGTTGGGAGGCAGAAAGCACGGATGTGAGCTGATTGGCAAGAGGAATGATGACATGACAAAATACATTTTCACACAGATGGTGGTTAGGACCTGGAAAAGTACTGTCTAAGAGTGGTGGGAAAAGATTCAATTGAGGCTTTTAGAAGAGAGAAACAATTTGCAGAACTACGGGGAAAAGATGAGGGAGCGAGACCAGCCGAATTGTTCTTGCAGTCAGCCATAGGTGCTATAAACATTTGATGAAAATTCAAAGAATTTCTTGGGGGTCTTAAAAAGAGAATATTCTGAAAATGTGACATTGATTTTAAATAAATCATCCAACATACATTGATTTACTTCCTGTGTGTGTGCCAATTGTATTCCCTTTCTCCTTCAAACAGGCCAATGGGATGGCTTGGAAATTGGGATCATCTGCCGTACCTTCAGTGAACCTGTAGATGGGCAGTTATCCATCCTTCAATCCCCCTTTCCCTCCCTGAATATGATTACCAATTCTTGCTGCGGTCGGCTCACAAACGCTGCCTGTGTAACATAATCTACAAACTGATTCTGGCCAGTCAAGCCATGTATGGGCACGACAAGCAAAACTGATCCTAGCTAGTTATGGACGTTGTAATGAGGAATCCCTGCACCCTGCAAGTTAGTGTGTTGAGATCGGCACAGTGTGGCCATTGTTTCCCAGTCACAACACAAAACGCACATTGTCCCTCCTCCGCTGGCTCCTCATATAAAGGACCCCAATATAAATTGAATAAAATGGGCCGAGAAAAGACTCAACCGCCCCCACACACTAATCCACTGTATTACTCGCATTTGCTGCAATGTGGGAATTCTTAACTGATAAAACTCAATCGAGGCACAGAGTGCTTTCTTCACATTGTGTTGGTGTAGATCTGTCCAACAGCACAGAACTTGTTAATTCAGGCAGTAGAATGCAAAGGTATGCCAGTGTAGACAAGCCAGGCTGGTGGAACAGAAAAGACTCAATTGGGAGTCAGCCACATCAACCTGATGCAACACGTTCCTAGCAGAATGCTTGCTTCTGTGCTTTCAGTGAATGGAGGAAGGAAGAAAGAAGCTGCTTCCTACTTTGATGGTTTCTCTCTTCTCCGGTATTACGCTGGTTTTATAATCCCGATGCTTTGGTAGCTTTTCCAAGAATAGCCTGGGTAATAAGCAGAAAATAACAATAGGGACAAACTTATGTTCGGCACACACATGGTAAGCATGTCAAACATAGATAAATTCCATTAAAATTACGCATCCAGGCTCCCCAGTCAGCACCTTCCAAACCCGTGACCTTGACCATCTAGAAAGACAAGGGCAGCAGATATATGGGAGCACCACCCCCTGCACTTGGAAATATATCGCCATTCCTTCAGTATTATTGGGTCAAAATCCTTGAAACGCCTCCCCAGCGGCTCAAGAAGTTAGCTCGGCATTTGCCAGGATAATTAGAGACGGGCAATAAATGCTGGCTTTGTCAGCGATATTCTCATTGCATCAATGAATAAAAAATGAAAAATTTTAAAAATATTCTTCACCCCAGCCCGTGAAAGCAAGTATTGTTATAGTGCACATTGTATCTCAGCACTGACCCTCCCGACAGTGCGGCGCTCCCTCAGCACTGACC